CCGGCGGCTGCGGTGTCACCGGGGGGGGGGGGGCGGACCCGCTGCCTCATGCTTCCAGCAGCGACGCCCGGCTCCCGTCCCGACGAGGCACCGCTCCGGTTGCTAGGGCGAGCGCCCTGGGGAGGCACGGAGCGGACACACCCACTGCCCCGCCACCCCCGTGCAGCCGGTCTCCGCGCCCCGGCCGCGGCCGCCCCGCACTGACCTGTCGGGTTAGCGGCGGCGGCGCCGGCGGCTGCCCCGAAGTTGAAGGCCATGAGGCGGCGCGGTTGGCGGGGTGCAGCCGCCGCCGGGTCCGGCTGGAAACGGTCACCCCAAGGGGAACGGTTCCGGGTGATGGCCCCGCTCCCGGAAACAGTAATAGCCCCAGCGACCCACGCCTGAACTCAGAGGGTGGCGCTGAATGATGACGTAATAAAATGCTGTGTTTCGTCACTCGCACGAGCGACCAGTCCCTACCTCCAAAATAGATGCGTGGATCACGTGGCACGGCGAACCTTGCGCTCGGCTACGCCTTAGCTATGACGTATGGGTGTCGCGCGCCTCGCAGAAGCGGAGCTGGGATTGAGGGGGAGGGCGGCGAGAGAACATTAGCTGTGGAATATACCAATCAGGCTAATGGTGGGGGGAGGGCGGAAATCACGGAGTCAGGGCCATACCATGTGGCCTAGGAGGGGGAGGTGCCCTCTTGTGCCAACTGGCGGAGTGGTTAGAGCAGTGGGCTGGAGCCAGGACTCCTGGGTTCCATTGCTGGCTGTGCTGCGAGCCTGGTGTGGCTAGAAAGCGAGGTGGGCCCAGATCCCCAAAGGGGTATAGGCACCTAGCATCCACTGATGTCAACGGCTGCATGGAGTGAACTTCACCCCACTTCTCCGCAGGGTGTAGGGGGCTTCGGGACAGTTCCCCCACGCCCTCCCATTGCATGTTATACTCCACCACTGACAGCCACCTGGCCCTTGCTTTTCAATCAGCGTTGTGCTCGACCGTTGCACTCTGACGAGTGATGGGGTTACAGATTTCAAACTACAAGGGAGCCAGCAGGGTTACTGCCTTCCACAGACACGCCATCACATGTTCGGCCATTACAAAGAAAACTGCAACAGGGTCACAAGTAGTTAAAATAATTTTTACCTAACCCTAGATTAACACCTATCCCATGAGGCCAGGTCAAAGATGGGCCAAATTTCACATTTACAGCTGAGCAACCCTGTTGAAGTCACTGGGGTCACCCCAGTTTAACCCATCATACTTTAAGCCATTGGGCTAGACCCTCCTTTCACTGTCACCAGTTTTATGCTGGGGTAACTCCACTGACTGTACCAGAGATGGGACTCAGGCCCCTGGGCAAATCTATACTGGAAACTTACAGTACCTTTTCTACTGACATTTCCACACCAAACAGGTCACCGTTTGGGGCCTGATCCTCCTTTCCTTGAGTATCCACAGCTCCTACTGAACAGAATACTAGATTTGGGTACACAAGGAATATAAATCAGGGTGCTTGGTAACTCCCTAAAAATTATCTTGCAGTTGAAATAGTCCTCCATACAAAATGGTTATTATTTTTCACCCACTTCTGGACAGAAAATAGTACTGACTTCTCTGGAGTCCTATATTCAGAAGGTATTTACTGTCTTTTTCAAAGAAAAGCATGATGCAAGGGCAATTTCGTATTGGTCTTCTAGCCCCAGATCTCCCACACTGGTCTACACACTTACTAGGCCTCACTGGAATATATGCTCCAGATATACAGGTGGGGGGGGGGGGGAGAGGAGAAGTGGGGTTCACTCCCCTCTAAGCAGCATCCCAAGTCACCAGTGTGTAGCCATAACTCAAAGAGCAGAGGAAAATCAACATTTTCATAAGAGTCCACTAATTTGGGTACCCAGCTTGAGCCACTTACAGCCTGTTTTTCAGAGGTGCCAAGCATCAGCAGCCCCACTGAGGTAAACTGGAATGGTGGGGGCTCAGTATCTTTGAAATGGGGCCCCAGGCATCTCAAGTTGGATACCAAATAATGAGGCACCCAAAATCAGTGGACACTTTTCTTTAACAGTAGGCTCTTGTGTCTGGTGGTTCCCCCTACCTACAGACATCCAACTCACTGTATTGCTCTTTGTGAACCTGCCTCTCTATGGAACAAGATAGTGAGAAACTATCAGCAAAGGTATCAATATTTTAACTCACAGCACCTCCCTGGAAATTTACATAATCCTTATTTTACAATCCCAACTCTCTGGGTGTAATAAATGTCTCACAGCTATGTTCCATTGAAATACAAGCAGCTTTACTTTTCTCTTTCAGTGCCATCTTCTCCCACTAGAGTTAGGGGCCATTTTGACTTCAAAATGAGAGCAGAGTTAGACCAATGCTGAGCACTACTGCAACAATCCCCCGGTTAGGTTCTTAAATCTATCTTCAGGCACCTAAATCAGTGTCCTGACTTTTAAAAGTGATGAGTGTCCACTACTCCCACTGACGTCAGTGGGAGCTGCTGATGTGCAGCACTTCAGAGCCAAAAGCTAGGTTGGAAAATACTGGCTATGAACTGTTTTCTTTCAAAAGGCGCCAGATACACAGACATAAACACAGAAGTTGTATAGTGAAAGAAAATACCAAGTTCATCACACTTTTTATAGAAACATTAACTTTTATTAATGCAACACTTGATCTGCATTAATAGTGGAAACAAAAATTGCTAGAGTCACAGAAAGTGAATCAAGTGTGCAAACATACTGATCATTGCTATGAGTATCTCCTCTTCAACAGTCAGCCTCAGGAAAACAAATACGAAATCCATCAACAAATAACAGTTGACAATTATCTCCCGTGAGTCTTCAATAATTAAAAAAAGTATCTAACACTGCCTGGAATCACTTCCACTGTGTGAAACAAACAATGCTTTACAGAACAGCTGAACAAAAGGATTATAGATGGATAATCTTCCCTGGATGCAGGCACAAGTAATTGTTATTAATAATAGGTATATAAGGAACTATCATACAGTGATCTTAGCACTCCTGCAAGGTACTGAGTGTCTGACTCACAGTGAAGTAAGCTGTCCTTTGAAGGATCAAGCCCATGGCACTTTACTAATATTAATTCATCCCCACACCACCTCTGGATGAGATATAGGTAAATGTTAATAACCCTACAGATTACAACTCTGGTCTCCTGAAAACCAGCCTTGCGCTCTAATCACTAGACTGTGCTGCCTTTCAGTGTTAATTAGTTGCTATTGTGAGTTGCATGTGTGCATCCAGAGAATGATATTCTTTGTAGTGTTTCTTTACACCTTAACAGCTGAGAAAGATGAACAAATGGGATTCTGGATTTTTAAGGTATCCAGGGGACAGTTTACAAAGAAACAGTGCAAAGGCCTGTCAAGGATAACTGTCCCTGCATATCAAATATACTGACCCTTTATAAAACACAGCTGGAAGGTCTGGCATCCAATAAAATGGCTCTCCCACAGGTATATTTGACTTTTTGTATGTGCTAGATTGAGAGAGGGGGTGGAATGCTCCATTAAGAGGCATCAAACTGCAATGTACCGTTTTCACAAAACTAAAAGGAAATAAAACACTCTCTAAAATTGTATCATGCATCCTGCTTCAATGGGTTTTAGCTTTTAACTCTGCAGTCATTTTTGCTCTTGCCTTACATAGAAATGCACACACCCTTCTCCAAACTGCTTAATATCTATGCGTCTATTTGTATCTGTAACACATGGGATTTTAAAATGTGTTTGTTGATGGCCTATGCCTGCTCCCATTGACAACACTGGCAAACTCCCACTGGCTTCAGTGGGAGCAGCGTCAGGCCACTGCTGAGCGCTTTGGCACACCCCGCTTGTAATACAGAACGTACTATATTTTTTACATGTGAGTTAGTTGCTGAGAAGTTCCAGAAAGAATTAGATGTTCCATGGACTAAAAAAGCCTGTGTCTATAAAGTACAACTGAATGTGATTTTGTTGGCATTCTGCCCACAGTGCTCACCTCTAACGGACATGCACATGTTTTAAAACCTGATGACAGTCACTTTGCACGACATTTAACAGATTTCCAATGGCACACTGAAAATTAGAAGGCGCAGCGAAACAGGACAGCTGTACAGGAATGGACGTAACAGCAGGAGCATGCAAAAAATAAAATGGAAACGTTTATTAAAATAACCACCTTTCCTGTATTTTAGACAGATAAGACCTCTTCCCTACGGTCTAGTGGAGATTTAAGAAACAGATGTTCCTTGGGGGGGAAATTCTTCAGAGCAAGGTAGAGAATGGAAACATTGGAGCAATGAAGTAACAAAACCAAGAAGCAGCTTAACCTGCTGTAGCATATACACAAACCTCTAGACACAGTCATTCAGACATTTGAAGAGTTCGGCAAATTAATCAATAAATGGAAAGGAACAATGAGCCAGACCCTGAAGAGATGTAAATTGGCACAGCATCACTGACTTTGATAGCGCTCCATGGATTTACATCAGCTGAGGATCTGACCCAATAAGCAGAATGTAACATTTTAAAATGGATATGTTGGGGTTAAATTCACCCCAGGGCAGGGGATCCTGCACAACAGTTGAGTCCTTGGGACAAAACCTGTTCCTGACATCTCAGCCGAGTCCACGACTACTTGGTCTGGACAGTGGCATGAGGACTGGTATTTTGCAGCAGTGCGTAGTCCCTCTGCTGGTCCTCTGCGCTAGGATGAATTTCACCCTGTGAGGCCTTGTCGTTTTATCAGGAATAATGCTTTCAAAATGACTTCCTCAGAAAATACCCGAGGCTTTGTAGATGATTTGTAGGTTACCGCTGTTGTGCACAGATAGCTTTTCCACACGGTGCTATATTTCAATGTGGATCATACAATGATCTGACCTGTACAACATAAAGACTGAGACAGAAAGGTGATCTAGAGTTCCTGATTTAGCATAACGTACTGCAAAAGGCAAATGGCCCACTCCCAGAACACAGGCTCTGCAGCTACTGACTCAGTTTCCCCAGCTAAGGAAGGCTGGCCCTTCATCTGAGGGGGATGTAGCCTTTTACCAGCAGCACTGGGAAGTCTGTAGCTGCCCCTTTCCGAATACAGGGAAGAATTTAAAAGGGACCCTGGGCCAAAGCTATTGAGTTCTCCTTAGCTGGCAGGTTTATTCCAGAGGTCAGCCAAGGAAAGAAAGAAAGGGGTCCTGGGACTCAAAGACTGGGGTGATGGGGAGGAGGGTATCTGCAACTGGAATCTACACAAGTGGCAAAGGAAGATTCTCCCCTCCCGCAGAACAACATTTGGGGTAAAGGTAGGGCAGAGTTCCAAACCCCCTCACCCACAAGGGTTTTCACATGGCATTATTTTCATCCTGGCCAATCACCGGGCAGATGAGGGCTGGACAGTTTCCTCTCATGAGGTTAAATGGAGACATTACTGCCGAGCAAATCCCTTGAGATGAATGGCTGTAGTTGGCTAGCCTGAGTCTCTCACTCATTGGGAACACACTTGCAGATCACGATGGGTTGGGAGCTCCATTATGTACAGGAGCCCTGATCCTCAGCCAGGCAGCGCGGCAGATGCCTGAATTTGGATGATTATTATTTGGTTGGTTTTGGCTTGCATAGGAGAGGAGCCAGTCGGCTGAAGAAGTCAGCCTGGTGCAATGCCAGTTTCTCTAGCCTTCTGTGATTGGTACAAATCTATAGACCACAGCACAGTTGGGCTCTGGTCCAGGACTTGGGCTCCTCGGTGCTACAGTAATACAGATAATAAATAATAATAGTGATAATAATGAGCTTTTCCGACTGGGCCAGCCCAAAATGGTCTGGATTGCTGAACAATTGATAGGCTAACATCCTACGCATGTGGAAAGCAACAGAGAGTCCTGTGGCACCTTTAAGACTAACAGATGTATTGGAGCATAAGCTTTCGTGGGTGAATGCCCACTTCGTCGGACGCATCTTAAAGGTGCCACAGGACTCTCTGTTGCTTTTTATAGATCCAGACTAACACGGCTACCCCTCTGATACATATCCTACGCATGAGTGTTCAGCCAGTCAGAAAAGTAGGTCTCAATTTTTCACTGACTTTATTTGATGGAAATATATTTGTGAGAATGCTCTTCCTCACGGAGAGAAAAAAGGTACCCTTATGATATTTTAAGCTACCAGTATTTTTAAAAAAACATTTATGCTGCTTTCCTTTATGTTCCAAACATACCTCAACACAGAAGGTCTGTAGGTTTCCTAAATGTTGAATGCAATTACAAATACCCTTGCAACATCTGCCTGTACAGTGCTCCACAGAATAGATATTGGTGAGACACTGACACAGGAAAAAAGGAGAACGCTCTATTGTACCCTCAGCTAACCAACCCTTTGTTTTCCAGTGTAAAAAACAATTAATTAAAAACTTTCCAGGGCATTTTATTAATACCACACAATGGGATTTCAAGCAATACTGGGACAGATCAAGGTGCTGTACGAAAATGTGCTATCAAGTACTTGGCTTCTTAACTGAAAACTAGGTATGATTAAATAGGCCTCACTTACCATTTTGGCTTAGATTCACAAAACAATTTTGGAGGTGAAAGGCATGATGTGTAACTACTAAAACAATCCATTCACACTCTGTTAATAAGAAGTCAAGTGTACTCTACACAAAAGACAAAATTAGACCTAGGGCAATATTTTCAAAGATGCTTAAGTTCCATTTTCAAAAGGGACTTAGGAGCCCACATTACTAAGGTCCATTTACAAAGTTTACCCCACGTAATTCTAATACATGAATCAGGGTATTATACTCTCACTGATATAGTGGTTCTGAGCTTTTATGGCTTTCAACAGCACTGGGAATATTAAACACTAGTTAATAAAGCAGGATCTCAAGTCATTTTAATATCTGGTTTTAAAACTTACTTAGCAGCTGAGAAGAACAGTTTCCTCATTCACTAGCATTTTAGTATTTTCCATCCCTGTACTACAAATAATTATAATTAGCATGGTGGGTTTTTAGAATGCTGAATGCCGGGTAGTGTTCGGTATTAGATCAACTTGCATAGTGTATTCACCAAGCTCACATGGGAAGGGGAAAAAAAGAAGATTAGGATGTCCTGATGAGCGGAGCCCTTTCCTCTTCAGAACTCTGAAATACAAAATGGCAAAGCAGAAAAGTTAACTGCAGTGTGTTAGACAGCTGGAGGACAGTAAATGTAAGATTGAGTTTCAAAGCAGCAAAGAAGAGTGAGCCTGGTTATCAGCATCCCCTAAGTCCGAATTCTATTCCTTGTGCCATACAAGAACAACTATTAAGCTAAAAAAAGCACCACGGGGCAGATTGTGAGTGGTCTTTGCACAGATATTCAAGCGGGATGACGCAAGAAGCCACCCCAGTTTGCTCGCCCTATGCCAGGACCAGCACAACCGCAGCATATGGTCTACTGTGAGCACACGGATTGTTCCTCATAGGTCTCCCATTGGGAAAGCTGCCCCAAAGGGGCTGGAGAGGAGAAAAGGACATGCCCCCCTCTTCTCTGCATGGGCAAGTGTTGCTGGCCAGCCACGGAGAGGGGAGCGTGCTGCATCACCCTAGGGAATGGTGCAGTAGGCACACGCTGTCTGCATTCCTTGGAGATGTTTAGGGGGTGATACAGGGACCAGCGTTAGGGCAGGGCTTATTTAACTTCCTCCATGATGATGCTGGGAACGAACAGCATATTGACGAGATTACACTGGGAGGAGTTATCTGCGCCCGTGGGAATAGAGATAATTAAAAGGGACCTACAGAGCGGCAGGGTCAAAGGCAGGAAATCTTGGAAAAATGCAAGATAATGCATCTTGGGGAAAATAATCTGACACACGCACTCAACAGGAGGGAGAATCCTGGGAACCAGTAATGCTGGAGACTTATAGGCGACAGAAGGCAGGGTAATAAGGCTGCAAAATTAAAGGCCAATCTTGGGCTGCGTCTGCAAAAATACTGAGTCACAGAGCAGGGAGGTGAGAGTTTCTCTGTATGTGGGTGAAACCACCTCTGGAATGTGTGTGTTCACTTCTGGGCACCTAGTATGTTAATGACAGACCGGAGGGAGTTCAGAAAGGAACAACAAAAATGATGCAGGGCTGAAGAGACAGATTTAGAGGAAAGATTTAAAGAGTTAAATATGTTGAGCTTTGCGAAATGACAACTGAGGGGTGGGGTCAGCGATATGATAATCGTCTACAAATAGTTTAAGGCCATAAACAGGAGGGAGGGGAAAGAACTGGTGCAATACAAGGGGGTAGTACCAGGGCTATATGATTTTCATGGCCATTACAGATTACACAGTTTGCAGGAAACAGCCTGAGAAACGTGGCTGTGATTGATCTCGCTGGGGTGGAGATGAGAGAGCAGGTAGGGCTGGGGCCGTGGCCGGAGCCCACAGGCCTGCTGCTTGGCACTCAGGCTGAGCCTGTCAACCAGACAGGGAAGGGAAAAAGAAACTCAGGGTGTTCGGGAGAAACAGGATCCGCCTCTCCCATAAACGAACCAGGACCAGAGTCATTCAAACATCCATTGCCAAAAAGCTGAACAGGGTGCAAGAACGAAGCAAAAGTTTCCAAGCGGGGGCAGTCAACATTTGAGGAAAAGTCTGTCAGGCTGCAGAAAGATCACACAGGTCTCTCTCTTGAGGTCTTGCCACAAAACCACCACCACAAGGCTAACTAATAAGCATGCCCAGGTCCCCACAAACTGAGAAACAGCACACGCACGGTTTGGGTGTGAATTCAGGAGGCAGGTTGCGTGTGCTTTTTCGTGCAGTTGCAAGAACCCGTTTAGAAAGCCAAATACACAAAAAGCAAGACGGTCCTAGAGCAACAGCAGCTAGAAGTGGAAAAAGCCTACTAGGGTACCCTGTCTCGGATCACAAAGCTGTCCCTAATTTAGCATCCATACAGGACCACTGAAGTAGGGTGAAGTTTTGGCTCACAATCTTTGACAGCATTGGCAACCTTAATGCCAATTTTTTAATATAACAGATGAGAATACACATATGGAAAACTATTATCTGTGTACGGTACTGTATTGTACAATTGATCGGTGGGTGTTTTTGAAGTCGTAATGTGCATTTATAGCATAAGATTGTGCGTTTGAGAAGTAATTTGGAGGAGCTGATCCACTTTGTATCGTCTTTGTATCAGTTATATTGACATGTGGAGATGCTCAGGTTGTAAGATTATAATTGCCATTGAATGGTTAAATATGGTACGGTCAGAGTTAAGGTTGTGCATTATGGAGTGATTTTCAGTTCTCTGAGGGGGACAGTATTGTTGAATGGCCCAAGTGGCAAAGCTGGGATAAGAATCTGAATTTGTCTGTAGTTTCTGGGTGTTCAGAATTGGGCTGTTAGTTTAGATGCCGATTTGGCCTTCAGTTGGTTTAGGAAGAACACTGGGCCTAGACCCAGCCCAAAGTATTACAAGAAAACCTGAAAATCAATTTAATATTTTTTCCTCAAAAGGCAACTGTCAAATTGAACAGGGCTCAAAATGTCAATCAAATATGTGGGTTTTTTGGATCTTACCCTTCAGAATTCACTAGACAGGCTTCTTTTTACAACTAGGGTTTGTAGCTAGCAAAGGAATTAGGAACAAAACAAAATATTTATATTCACCCACCTTACCGTGTATCTTAAACTGGCTGCATAGCTTTGTTTGGGTGCATTTACTCTGGGTCTATTAACACTTCTCTAACCTGGAAAGAGCAGTTGCAACAAAAACAAAAAGCAAAAACGTTGTGGGAACCCAAAAGGTAAAATCAATGACAGGCAAATAAAACACAGACAAACACAGAGAAAGGAAGGTCAACTTCAGATGCTACTAACCTCTTCCCTTGTTCCAGGGGGCCTGCATACGAGCACAATGAAACAAATCCCCAAAATAATTCCTAATGCCATGATTATGAAGGGGATGCTGGTTACAACCGTGGCTTCAAACAGAACGCTCTTCAGTTTTTTGGCAGATGCTTCGTCTATCAGAACACTCTGGAGGAGCAGGGAGAATTGAGAAAGAGAAAAATGATACATTTCAATACCTCGCTCTCTTACTTAGAATAAGATAAGAGGAAACAGCAACATCCCCTCTGCCATAATGACTGTTTGATATGCCTTGCCTCTGACTAGAACTGCTAGCTCTTGTTTAGAAGCTCTAGGGGTAAACTGGTCTGCGTTTTCAAAAGTGACTAATGACTTTGTGTGCACAACCGTGGGACACCTTAAAAGGGTTGGTTTTTCAGAGGGAAGGTGCTTTCTCTCCAGCACCCCACGGAGGGACTGGTTCACGAATCACCAGCACACTTCCTGCAATGGCTAAGATTTTCCTTGGAGGTCTCCCATTCAAGTGCTGACCTCGCTTGACCTTACCCACAGTCTGATCCTGCAAACTGTTGTTGCCAGATGGCATGCTTGCTGCCAGGAGTTGTCTCACTGAAGTCAGTGGGACTCAAGACAGTAAGCTCTACTCCCAGCTGTAACTATATGCAGGATTGGGCATTAATTTGTGAGACCTCTCAGGTTCAGAGCATGAAGGGACATGGCTGCAGGGCCTGTAATATAGTGACCCCTGGGTCTTTGAATGAGGCTTTATACTTGGGGGGGGGGGGACGTGAGCGGGTGGGCAAGTGGCGGGTGGGCAAAGAGGCGAGCAGTGAGCCAGCAGGGATTCTAGGGGCAAGCATGGGGTTTCTGGCAGGGGAGGGAGAAGGTGAAAAGAGGCGGAGGGGT